CTTTTCGGAAGCGTTGTGGCTGCTTTCAATCGAAGGCAGAAGCACCTTGTGAGGAGCTTTTCCAGCTTAAACAAAACCCTGCCGAAACTACCCTGCCACTTCACCGAATTTGCAGTATATGCTTCTTACCCCCAATTCTCTCCCATTCACCTCCCATGAAGAAAGATGGGTCAACGCTAGGGTTCCATGTGGCCACCGTATCTCATGCTTCGGCGTCGCCCACCAGAAAAATGGTGTCCCCGCCCTTCTCTGATCTCCCTCCTCCAGCCCCCTACCTGTTCCAGTTGTATCATGGCAAATACTCCCGGTGGAGCATTTGGTGGTGAAGGAGGATATCGTTCAGTGATGCTATGACTATTGACCATAAAAGAAAGAGTTCTTTATGGCGCATATGTGCGTTAGGTTTCCTGAAAACGTTATGATTGATAGTGGGGGATCTCTAGGATGTGTTAAAAATGTAGCCACATCTAAATTTTGAACTCTATTGTTTTAGAAGATACATGAGTGACTCTAATGTCGGCCTTTATCACGTAGTCATGCCATGTCCTCCCAACCCTACCTGATTTAATCATAAATTTATAAGCTTCCCGTTTGTCTTTCTAATTAGCAAAGTTTCAGAAAGAAGGTCATATCAATATGCTTAATCATGTTATGGGGAAACATAAAAATTAACATTTGGATAAAGAAACCAACATGAAATGCACATTTTGTTCGGCGATCATGATTACCGATGCCATAAGTAATACTCTTAACGTCCCATAATATAAGAACGTTTTTCAAGCTGTTAGCTTGAAAAACGTTCTTATATTATGGGACGGAGGGAGTATTAATTATTGTGGCTACCACCCTTACAAGACATGCCAAAAGGCCGCAATTAAAGATAAAATAGTTGCTTGATTTTACTACTCCAACAATAGGGCCATTTTCAGGAATGATCTATTACAAATTTAGAATTAGCACCTGCGAGATTTCTTCCTTTCTACCATCAGGCATTTTCTTTTGAGCAAGTAAATGTTCATCCTTTTCCTGTTAATAGTTAAGATCCCACATTAAAGAGTGAAGAAGATCAAGTGACCAATAAATAGCCATGCACCATTTAAACCAGTGTACCTTCAAAGCTTGATATCTAGCGCCAAGGCCAGGCAATCCCTCCAAAAGCTTTCGAACAATGTAATCATGGGAACGAGCTTGCTTGAAAAAGGATTGCTTGAGCAATTTTGTTGCAGTCGGCCTTTTTGAAGGCTCTTTTACCAAACACATAGCTACCATTTGCTTGAAGTGCTGTTATAAGAAACCATATGCATAAGTCCTCAGAAAAATAACACAGAGGTGATGGGTCGTCTCAAATATATTTACCCTTGAGAATTTCTTATCTCTTTCATAATCAAGACCGGGGGGAGCATTTTGAAGTGTCATAAGCAAGACCTAAGCAAAATAAGTGAAGTAAAATCTCAGAAATTTGAAGTTACTCCCTACCATACATCATAAGAAAAGGAGTGTGACCATGGGCAAGTTCAAGTGCAGTAATATGGTATCTGCTTGAGTATGTATACCTTCATGGGAGGGCACTTTGAGAAAGGAGCGTGACCATGGGCAAGTTCAAGTGCGGTAATTCCAAAGGACCATATGTCTGCCCTGCAATATATTTCATATTTGTTCAAAGCAGCTCCAGTTAACAAGCAGTTGTGAAGAAAAAAGGTACCCCACTAGTTAACTAGTGATCCAGTACAGTAAGTAGCCTACTTGAAATCATATCCATGTAGTTGCTCCATTACCTCTGGTGCCATCCTAATCATTAGAAGGGCCAACACATGAGCATGTGTCAAGAAAAGGTTATGTAGCAGAAATGAAAGCATATTTAATTGTTTATTGCTTTGTCAGAATGACTACCAGCAAGGAGTTCCCACGAAAGTGTTTCTAGCCCGCTGTCTGTCACCAGATTCAAAAAGGCAAGCAGAAACCCCAAAATCTCCAAGCTTAACTCCACCACGAGAATCAACTAGGATATTTCCCGCCTATGGTCAAAAGAAAGAGAAAGGAAATCAACGTAGCGCTCAGCACAGGGGAACAGCAGATCCTTCAGATATATATGAATGTGCATTTACCTTGACATCACGATGTATATGCCCATGATGATGAAGATATTCCAATCCTCTTAGAACTTCACGGAGCAGTGTTGCAATGACAGCTTCCTCGAAACCATCCGGATAGACTGATTTCATTATGTGAAGACAAGATCCTCCAGCCATGTACGGCATAACTACCCATAACGTTTGGTTATTTGCAAACGAACAGATCGCCTTAACAACATTAGGATGGTCTATAAGAATCATTGTCTGGGCTTCACGCATGATATTGTTCTGCATCAAGACAAGCACCGGTGTTGGTCATTCTCGAACTAAAATGTGGCATGAAGACGGACATGAATTGAATAGGAGACATGAAACTGCATGCAGACAATGCTGGAAGCCAATACAGCCAAGGAGCGTGTCGGATTCCCTCTGAATGACATATTTGCATCATTGAAATGGCTGGTATCATCCAGCCGGTTCAGATTCATATAATCATGTATACTCAACAGCTTAACATAAATCCAATGTCAGCTACCAAACTTCCTTATTCATAAATATGAATCCAGGCATATCATTGTTCTAAGCACATTATTGATATCTGCACTTACTAATTATCCGACAGGTTCATCGACGGCATGAGTATGACCGAAAAATCGATGCGTTCTATGACAGGCCGGGATCATCTACCTGAGTAATCTACTGCGAGATATAACAGACAAACATATGGCGCTACTATGATGCAACACCCGACGAACAAGACAGGAATTATGGGCGCGCGGGCCGGCGAAACAGAAGGCGGGTTCAGGCGACGGGCGGCAGTGGGTCATTACCAGGTTGCTGTTGGTGCGCTCGAAGTCGAGCACCTTGACGGCGACGGTCTCGCCGAGCGGCCTGCAGAGCGCGCGGTAGACGATGGCGCTGACGCCCTGCCCGATCTCCTCGTACAGCTCGTAGTCCTCGGCGCGGATCGGGTACTTGCGCCTCTCCCCTCCGCCGCCGAGGCCGCTCCCGCCCGCGGCATGCTTCGACCCCGACCCGACCATTGCCGGCCTATGCCGCCGCCACCGCGGCTCCCGAACGCGACGGCGCCCTTCCGACGCGCGCGACGAGCGAGCTAGGTTCGCGGAATCCGCGCGCGGGGCGGAGCTTGACGACGTAACCCTAGGATAGGACCGCAGCGGCTCCGCGCGATGGGGCGGGAGGATTGGGGGTGGTGGAGGCGGGAGAGGGGAGAGAGGTGAGCTGAGGAGGAGGAGAGGGGGGGCGGGGCGTGCGACGGGTCGCGCGTTGCGGAGAGGAGGGAATTGGGTTTGGGGTGGGGGGAGGCGGGAGGCGGGCGACGGAGGGAGCGCGCCACTCGGCCGGGAGGGAGGGGTGGCGCTATACCTCGCCATGGGCAGCCCGGCCCGGATGACTCGACCCGACTCGGCCCCAAAAAGCCTGACCGGGCCTGCCCCGACCATGCCACGGGCCGGTCTTGGGCCTAGATTTTGAGCCTGATGGCCAGGCTGGACCGGGCTTGGGCTCATCGTATTTGCAGTTTAAGGAAGAGCCCAACCCGACGGGATTTTCGACTTATGAGCCGGGCCTAGGCCTGATTTTTAGGCCCGGCGGCCAGGCTAGGCCAAGCTCGGACCTAGGTTTTCTCCGTTGCGCTTTGGTAGGCCCGGCCTGAAGCTCGGCGGATGGCCAGGTATAGGTGGCGCGGTGCGTCTACGCAATCACGTGATGAGGCCAACAGGGCGGCACAGCACGGCCCGTTGAGGCCCGTATATAATCGGGTCGTGTCAGGTCAGGACGCGGGCCTTGCCTTGAGCCCATGCAGGAAAAAGTTCAAAACAAATCTTAAACTTATAGAAGAAAGCTAAATCAATCCTTGAACTTATAATCCCAATGGGTCCAAATCAACCCTTGAACTTGAACACGTTGCGATCCCAGTTTATTTCAAACATTGTGGGTGTTTAGCTGGTATTTGGTGACACGGCAAGGATCGCTGACGGGCTCGCTTGCATTAGGATGAATCGGGCCGCCCGATAAGCGTGGTCGCTCGCATGCTCGCTCTGCACTGTTTTTTTTAATTTATTCTCTTTTTTCTTTCAGTAATGATAATAATTCCTTTACATTTTCTTAATGTCAATAATTTTTTTTAAACTACACGAACCCACTTGTCTTCTGTTAGGAGCGACAAAAAATACTAGCAGCACACAGCGAGCTTCAGAAGAGTCGAACTCGACAGTGGCCGCACCTAGCTAATCACCCCAGTGGCTGATGATGATAATATTTAGCACATTGTGTAAAAGAAGACATAGTAGGTTTAGTATAATGAAAACCTTTTTTAATTTTGAAACATTTCTTAAAAAAACGTCAACAACTTCATAATTTCTAATATATTTTTTAACGCAAATAATTTACTAAATCCCCAAAAAAAAATAAAAAAATGTGACACGGAACATTTGCCAAATACACGTTTTAAATTTACTTAATGACAATAAACCTTTTATAAAACTATATGAACATTTTGTTACATTGCTTAAACATTTTTTTAAAGGTTTCAGTTTCAAATTTTGTTCCTATTTTTTCAAAACTTCTCGTGTTTCAAATAGTGTTTGCCTTTTCAAAATTTATTTTGTTTTCAAAATTGACTATGTTTCAAATTGTGTTTTAAAAAGTATTCATAATTTTTGAAATTTACATTTTTTTAATGTACGAAATATTTTTTGAATCACACAAATAATTTCTTTACATTGTATTAACATGTTTTTAACTGTTACGTACATTATTTTAACTCGTGACATTTTATAGAGCTCACAAACATTTTTCTTACAGATTTGTTCCCATTTTACAAAAAAATAAGTGTTTGCACTTTAAAATTGTGTTCAGGTTTCAAAATTTGTTCCCATGTTTTCAAAAAATGTTTGCTTTTTCAAAATTGATTGTGTTTGTTAAAAAGTATTATTTTCAAAAAGAGTTCGCACTTTTAACCTTTTCAGAGACTTTGTTAACTTTTTCGATGTTTGTTTGCGCTTATAAAATTGTTTTCAAATATCGACGCTGTTGTGTATGGTTAAACTGTTCGGGCCTCTGATTGTAGCCCTAACAACCATTAGTTTTAGGCTAGCGTGAGCAGTTAACCTGTGTCAGGTTTCAAGCTCGATTCCTCCTAAGTGTCTCTTTTTCTGTATTTTTACATCGTGCGTTAAAAGAAGAAGAAGAACTAGCTCCGCTCCTGATGGGCCAGTCCAGTCGCGTCCGCTGTCAAATATCCCGAGATTCAACCTGCCTCGTCCACTATTCCTGTTTGGGAACGCACTCAAGGTTTAAAATATATCGGGATCAAAGAGTTTGATGTGTTGATTTCAGGGGTGAAAAGTTTAGAGGGTTTGATTTAGCTTTGGTCTACAAATTAAAGGCTTATTTTGAACCTTTTCCGGCCCATGCATGACACATGTGCTAAACAGGTTGGCATCGTATGCCATCGGCCTGCGTGCTTTTGGGCTTCTTAAAAAAGAAATTGGTGTGTCAAGTCGGCACGCGTGCCAGACACGTGTACTTCTGGGCCAACCCGTGAAGCACGCCCTGTTTGGCCAGTTACAACTAACCAATTCAAGCATAGTCGTCATATACGCCCCATCATAATGACCGTCAATATAACAATTTTGAACCAAAATGATAGTTTAGTTTAGTTGCCATATGGCCCCGACTCGCTATTTTTTAAACGCGCTCTAAAACGACCCCACCAGACTCTGTATTTGAAGGTTGGGTCAGGTGATATGGTGCACCCACCATCCACCCAAATATTGGTGTCACGAACATTTCAGAACACATGTTTCCTTCCACCACCGCCCATGTTCTCGCACCCCTCCGTTTGATGCCATCCCTGCTGCCCGGACCACCATGATTTTGCCCCGGTCGTCTTCCCCGAGCCATTCCTGGTCCTCCCACGCTTCGCCGGAGGACCGCCGTGACAAGTAGAGGTGGAGCGAGGATTCCAATTTTGAGTATAGAGTTCAAAAAACAGCGCATCTTAATGGCTTGCAATATGATATTATTGTAGTAGCTGAAATGGCTGATTCGCCCGATACATTACAATACATCACTGCTTATACGGAAGCAACCCTGGCTGGTCGACTGGAGATGGTTTTTTCCGTGTTGGGCCAGTTGATTCGGTAGTGAACTCTAAGGAAGAAAACAACGGAGAGTTAGATTTTTTTTTAGAAGAATAATGGAGAGTTAGATAATAGATGGGCAGGGCTGCTGGTCTAAAAGCAACCGATGTGCATATTATCACACCTAGCGTACAGTACATAAATGTTTTTTTCACATGGTAGTACGTATCTCATTCATATAATAAAGGTCAAATTACAAGTCATGCATACACCACATGACAAATTAAAAAGAAGGGAGAGACTTGCGTGAGATCTCACGTTAGGTAAGATCAAGATCGATTTTTTTGGAAAAAAATCTACATTTTCAAAAAAGAAATTAGAAACACGTCAATGGTTGATGCTCAACTTCAAAAAGTCTCAGCTCCTAATTTGACTTACAATAATAGAAAAAAAACATAAAATTGTACGTGAATAGTGTCAAAGTATTATTAGGCCAAAGCTGCCATTATTCACACTCGAATTTGTGTTTTCTGAATCTCCAAATGTACATCGAGTTTTGAGCTGAGTACTCCCTCCTTTCATGTATATAGGGCCTAATACGTTTTTCGAGGCTAACTTTGACCACATGTTAGAATAATAATATATGACATGCAAGTTACACAAAGCATATCATCAAATTCGTAAGTGGAAGGAGCTATAATGATATAATTTTCGAATGATACATCTCATATATTATTAATCTTATCAAATAGTCAAAGGCCACCTCGAAAAATGTATTAGGCCCTATATATATGAAAGGAGGAAGTAAATACATTTACGCAGGCCAAATGGAAAGCAGTGACTAACTACTCCCCCACATCTTCAAGTACGCTGACGACACTGCGGTGGTCATCTTTGCAAAGAAATTCCAATGCAACACTCCGACCATTGGCAAGACGGTTTTCCGACTTGACGCGCGCTCGTACAGGGTTAGCTGTTCTCGGCCATGGATCGATCTTCAATGCTTCGAGAACAGTAGCATTGTGGATAATATGAAGCGCCAGCTCCAGTTGATCTTTCTCGCGGATGAATCCGCTTATATGCACCAAACTGAGATGTGAGTGCGGGCATGAAGGGAGACTCCTCAGCTCGCCGTCTTCTTGACGGTACCGCTTGTGTAGGAAATGGTCCATTACCATCTATAAGCATGAAAACCGCTTTGTTAGTACCTCCATCAGGAATGACCAAACAAACTTGTACTTCCTCTGTAAACTTTTATAAGACCTTGGAAATAAAAGGTCTTATAAAAAGTTTACAGAGGGAGCAACATGTATACAAGAAATAAAATAAGCAATATAAACTTACAAGAGAGATAATCATATAAGATAACAAGAGACGCTAGATATAGACATATAAGCTACACGGGTGACATGTTATTTGCCGGAACAATTAATCAATCAGCTCTGTCCATGTTAGAGATCACGGATTCCTCATGATAGCTTAATACTACAGGAGGTTGCACAGACTAGTGTTGCGCAAATAATTCCATCATGTCTCACTTCATTTATTAAAACTAGGGGAATCATCCACCCAAACATTAGGGTGAAGTCCACTCTCTTTAGCTAAACTATGAGCAACGGTTTTTTTGCATCCCTTAGGATAACAATCATAAACAACTTCATGTCTACATACAAGTGAAGAACTGAAAGCTGAAAAAGACAGGCTTACATGCAATTCTAGTTTCTCCATGGAAGGGGCAGCCTCTAGGAGACAACCAAGGTCGAGGATATCAGTTGTCCCGCGTGCAGAGTCAGAAATAGTCCAGTTTAATATCAAATGACGCAGAGAACGAAATTTGGAAAGCCTGCTCACTGAATCAACCCCCTGCATACAACAAATATGAAACCAACATAAAATAAATATGAACATAACCAATGAAAATACAAGAACGGCAGGGGAAATGCAAACCTCAAGTTGTGTGCAACTTAATGAGAGCATCTCAAGACGTGGGAGAGTTGCTGGGAGTTCATTGAAGATGAATCCTAGAGCAGAATGGCAAGGTAATAACTCAATCGATAGTTTCCTTAGCTCCAAAGGTGCAGCAAACTTCATTGGTATCAATGAGCCTCTATAGTGGAGTGCTGGCACTCCACAATCTAACGTCATGTCTTGAAGTAGCGGGCAACTCAGAACAAGCAAAACCTTAAGGCGATTCAGGCAATGTGGAATCCTTAAACTGGTAAGCATCTTACAGTAGGTAATACGGAGGCACTCTAGATGATTGCCTTCAGACAGCAAACATTGAACATCTTCATTGGTAATACTAACATCTCGCAGGCAAAGCTTAGGGCCTCTTTGATTCACAGGATTATCAAAATGAAGGAATAAGAAAAATGCAGGAATAGGATGGCATGTCCCATAGTATCCTACAGGATTTGAAAGAATATTTGATAGCGCAGGAAAAACAAAGGAATTCTACAAAGAGGTTTGAGTGGATGGAAATTTTCCTCCAAAATATAGTACAAATGGATCCCATGGAAAAATTCCTAAGGATGCCAATCCTACGAATCAAACGAGCATCACAGGAAAAAATTCTAAGGGTTCAAATCCTCCAAAAATCCTATGTAATTCCTTTGAATCAAAGGAGCCCTTAGTGAGATTCTGAAACCCCCTGTAACCAGCAGGCGGATTTAAAGAAACAAACCAAAGCTCCAGACGGCGCAAGTTTGAGTCCTTTGTATCAAGAACCTGAAGAGGGAAATTATATGGCACTGTCGTGGGCCCATAATTCACTGCCCATGATTCAAGAATGAGACCCTTCGCCTTCGACGCAATAGCGTAGTTGACCAATCTATCGATATGACCTGCGTATCTATCACAGAGATCATGCCTGATTCTGATGTCCTCGGTCCCTACACCCTCGTGTTGCTGGAGAAGTGCACCAACACTCTTAATAAATTTGCGCCTGCTGAGTCTAATACCTCGAGGACCAGTCCAGGATCGTTCCTTGTCGGACTCCGACAAGACCGTGTGATGACTGAGATCAATGTAGGCGCGGCACAACCAAAGACGCCGCCACTGACTCGACAAGATGCTTGTCCTGGCAGCTTCCTTCAATGACAGTTTAGATGTGATGGAGCTCAAAATATCCTACAGCACAGAGTGTGATCCAACATCAGGAAGACAAAAATAATAAAGAGAGCATTGGTGGTCTGCTTACATTGGGTAGACTGCTGATTCCAAGCCTGTGTTTCGTTCTCTTGGCAGATGGTCTCTGCGGGCTACCTGGTGGCAATTTCCTCTTGGCATTCGACACTGGGCTACAATGACCTATCCCCATTGTTAAAAACTCGGAAATTGTCCAAAAAGTACCGAAGGTCGATGGATGCTGAAGGGCACTGAACCTATTAGCTGGGCTGCCTAGAGGAGGGGGATTGAACCCACCGTAGATGGATCCTGAAGGTCGGGATAATGGCCCCTAGGAGACTCTAGCTGAAGTTGACTTTTTTCATGAAATTTTTCAAAAAAAAATTCCAAAAATGCTTTCAAATATGAATATTGCTAAGTGTTCTTATATATCTCGCGCTTTCTATCAACACCGGTTATGGTCAGGTCGAGTGGCTAGTAGCACGCGTTAGGAGTGCTAGGTCACGAGTTCTCGCAAGCTCACTCATTTTCTATGAAGAGATAGCGAGGCAGGACACGGCACGACCAACACTTTTGTTTTCATCTTCTAATTTGTATCGGTACTAATTCATGTATTTTGTAAAATCATGTCAGAAATTACAGCATATTATTCTATCTTATATATTTAGTGATGTACTACTTTAGTATTAAAATTTAGTCTGTCCGTTGCCTTACATTTAGACCAGGCCTATATAAGGCCATCGAGACAACCTTGTCCATCAAGCTCCCATTGTGCATTTGTAAGACCATCGAGACCTTCATGCTCACCGTGCCTTGCATTTTGCTCGCTTCAACCACTGATCACCGCCATTAACCTCTCCATTTCATGATCAACGCCTCCCCCGTCCCCCGTGTGCCTGTCGGTGGACTTCCTCCCCTTGTCCTACGTGGTACCGCTCATCATGCCATAGTGTCATGTTCATGCGCACCAAATATTTGAAATAATTATAGAGCATTTCGCAAGTTGTTTCCGCAAGTAAAACACCCATGTATATTTCAAAGCTTTCGAACTACGACTACATATACGTCACTTGGGTGATCCATGAGTGCGTAGTCGTTACTTTCATGCTTTTGCTACTGCCCAACCACTTGAAAAATTTTGTAGGTGAGGCTGAGTCTAGAACAAGCAGGGCGATAGGTAGACCTGGCCATGGGCTATCCGGGCCGACCCGACCTAGCTTGCCCACTGCCGGGCTTGGGCCTGAGATCTAAGCACGACGCCCGGGCCGGGCTCGGGCCTGACATATTTCTGATTTAGGGAAGGGCCTGGCCCGAGGCCCGACGGGCTTTTGCACTGATGGGTTGGGCCTGGGCCTGATATTTAGGCCCGACGCCCAGGCCAGTCTGGGCCTAGGCCTAGTTTTTTTGCAACGGGCTTTGTTTGGCCTGACCCGACATTTGGCCCGGTATAGCGACAGGGACGCCATGACATCACCGGCAGGGGCGAGGCAGAGACTTGACAAGTGTAGGTGCGGGGTGGGGTGGGGTGCGGGAGAAGTACCGGGGTTAGAGGGATGGCCGCGGAGAGCAGGGGAGCGTCTTACGAAGGGTGGTGCTGCGGTTAATTTGACTGAACTAAAAAATTCATCAGGTGACTAGTAGATAGTCGGCCCCTTTTGTTTCAGCAAAGGCTAGTTGCAAAATTAAGCATTCCAGCTAATTGCAGCGCACCATTGCACGGGAGTCGAGAGGCGGGAAAACGTCATCGCGGTAGTTCTTTTCAACAAAGTCCTTTTTTTTGGCGGGACGATAATATAGTCTTTATCCCGACGTCTTTTTTTTTGCCGTGGACGTTTCGGCATGTGCCTGGCTCGAGAAAGCGGCCCTTCCTTCCACGGCTCGATCACTCGGCTGTGCGGTGCGTTGGCGGTTGCGGGTGCATGCAGGTGGTACCGGCCGGCCGGAGTAGCAGAATCGATCACTGCAACCGTTCGACGCACGTAAGACTAAGATGGCGCGTACTGTTGCGTCCTTCACCGTCGGCCGGACGCCTGCCGCAGCGGACACGAGAGGTTCCAGAAGCAAGGCAGAGGAAACACACGAGCAGTGACACCGAAGCTACCATGCTAGTAGTATATTAAGGAAGGCAGTAGAACTATCTGTGACCGACATGTCGAGTTTCTCTATCTCGGTGGTGCTTTCTGCGACAAAGATTTGGTCGCGTGGAAAAGTTGTCTTAAATCGAGAGGTTCCTGTACCGCCTCTTTAATTGTGACGCAAGGGCATCTAGTACTGCTGAATGCTGGATCCCGGCCTCTTCCCCTTTTGTCTTTATTTACTGATGAATGGAAGCTGGATCTGAGTTTGGTCATGCTACGGCCTACGGGTAATAGGGTATGGAGGAGGAGTCGGAAAATAACAACGAGGAGGTACCACCAAGATCACCAATATATCTGCATGATGGTCGATCGGGTAGGCAACCGGCCGGCCGGAGCTGATGGAATTTTTTTAAAAAAAATGCTGTAGACGCACCAGAACTGCTCTTTTTTCAGGTTCTTTTTATTTGTTCTGATTGATTGACGTGCAAGTGCAAGGTGCCTCGCTTAGATACATTCCCGCGAAGGTGTGCGGGACAGCATGAGCAACCAGATCCAGATGTCTGCGAAGCTTGTGTCTCCATGCGACCACGTATCTAGGACGTCCCAAATCGGGAAGGCAGCCCGTGTCCCGCGTTTTCATTGCCCGACGGCGCCTCCGCGGCACTAAGGGCATCTTCAGCCGCATTCCCAGGAAGATCTTTTCACGCGTTTTTTTTGCGCCGGCGTCGAAAAAACAGTCCAGTCACACCCCAGGAGCCCGATTTTTGTCGGCCTGGGCCGAAAATAGCACCGGCGGACCCAGGCCGAACCCGGCGCGCTGGGGGCGCCCGGGGGCGCCGGGACGAACTGTTTTGGCGTGAAAAAGCCGCGGGCCAGTCGTGTCAGGGACACGGCGGCTCGTCTTCCCCCCAACTGCCTCGGTTCCCGCGGGGAATCAATGGCAAGGCTGCCGCCGGTCAGCCTTGCCATTGATTCCTCACGGGCGGCGCGCCGACGCCTCCCCTCCCTCCCGCGCGTACACACGACGCGGAGCGACTATAAAAGCCGGCGGTTCTCGCCGGTGCTCACACCAGACTCGCCCCTCGCCGTCGCCCAACCCCTCTCTCTCCGTATCCGTCTTCCTCTCCCGAGCGCCACCGGCAGCCCCTCTCTCTCCCTCTCTACCACCGCCGAGCCCGTCGCCATGGCAGAGCGCTTCCCCGGAGACGAGGCGGCGGCGAACGGCTTCGGCCGGCGTTCGCTCCGCGAACAGGAGTCCTGGCTCCTGTTCCAGGCGAACATCCCGGCGCCGCCGGATATGCGCGTCGGGCCGACGGGGTGGCGGCTCAGCGACGGGGGAGTGCCCGTTCCCCCGTTACCCGACGCCGTGGCGAAGCCCACGTACTTCGCCGAGGAGGTCGAGGTCGCGCGCGCCTCCCTGACCGACGACGAGCGCTTCCTCCCCCAGTACGCCGCCGGCAGTCACGCGGCTTGGGCGGCGTACTTCCAGCGCCGCCAGCAGCAGCGCCTGGCCTCCACCAACGACGCGCCGGTGGTCGGCGGCGTGAAGAACAGCATGGGGCGTCCCGGGCCGCACGCTGGAGGGCGTGCTGACGCACCTCGACGGCGGCAACAACCCGCCGTTGACCTATCCTGCGACGGGGGCCGCCCCGTCGCAACACCGACGCGCATGGGCGCCAAGGAGGTTCGCCTCCTCCTCGTCTTCCTCCTCTAGCTCATCTTCCCACTCCTCCAGTTCTCCGGCGCTTCTCGGCGTCAAGGCCGAGCCCGCGGCGGAGACGCCAATCGGTTGGCGCACTCGCAGCGTCGGCATCGTCATCAACGAGGGCGGCCGACGCGCCCCCTCCTCGTCGTCGGCTCCGCACTTCGTCAAGTCGAAGATGGAGCCGGGGCTGGCGCCGGTGAAGACGGAGCCGGGGCTGGCGCCGGTGGAAGCGGAGTTCGACGACGACGACGCGCCCCTAGAATGGGCGCGCCAGGACTCCATTGCGATGGAGACGGTGCGACGGGAGAAGGAGAAGGAGCGCCGCTTCGAGGAGCGCCGACGCGGCCGCGTTGAAGACGGGGTCGTCGTCTTATGCGACAGCGACGACGACGACGACGCGCCGCCGCCTGTCCGCCATGGTGACGCCGGGCAGGGGTCCAGCAGGGGCGCCCGCGTCAAGGAGGAGAAGGCCGACAACGACGATAGCGGCGACGGCGGCGACGACTTCAGCCCTTTTCTTTTTTAGATTAGGTTAATGTAATGAAAATGCACGAATTTCATCGAAATTTGCCATGTTTGGCCGAAATTTAACTAGTTTTTATCATAACTTCGCCGAACGGTCCTTTTTTTAATACGCGCCTGGGGGCGGCCCTGGGGGCCGACGGCTGGGGACCGACTCGCCCCCAGGGCCATTTTTTGCGCCGGCTCACCCCCAGGCGGCGCTTTTAGATGCCCCCTGGGGGGCCAACGGCTGGAGATGCCCTAACTTTGGCGCATCGGCACATGGGTCGGGTCGGGGTAGCCACTGCCGCAGCACATGGATGGGTAGCGCAGCGCCGGGCAAATGCAGCGAACCAACAACTGCAAAGCGATTTCGAGCTGAATGCATGCCACAGTCCAGTCGAGAGTCGAGGCGACAACGACGACTGGCACGTAAAGCATCGGCACCAGCCATGGCGACTGCAGCTGCGTAGATGCTCCCGGTGGGTCACTCCTTCCACTAGCTCACTGCAAGCCACCTTCCTGCAGGTGATGGGTTCTGATGGCGCGGGCCGGCCGAGAGAGGTGGCTTCTCTTCTGTCTAGCTATCTCACTCGCTGCGGTGGCCCGGCAGGCACGACATTGCGTGGTGGGCGAATTTGCCGGACAGGCGAAGGCACGGCTGGAACATTTCAAAGTTCCAGCTGTACCGCAAAGGGAAGTGCTGACATCAGATTTTGGCATGACAAAACATGTAATTAAGATGGACTCAAATGAAAAAGCTCTGTATCATCGAAATGAAGAATTTTGACGTATGGGTCATCGCCGTCTGATTTCATCCTGTTAGGTTTCGTAGTAATTTCAAAAAATTTCCTACGCACACGCAAGATCATGGTGATGCATAGCAACGAGAGGGGGAGAGTGTGATCT